CGTTTTCAGCCCACCTGTGCAGCTAGCGGAGCTAAACTAGGGTAGGAGGACCATGTGCTTTTACAGTTCTCAATATTTTATAGTTGTGTCTTGGAACTCTTCTTTGACTGTTAGAATAAGGTTCGACTTTAGCAAAAAACATATGACTTTGGACTTAACTATGTGAATTTTCAGCAGATAACCAAAAAGTTGTAGGTAAAGGCATGTCAGCAACTTATTTCCACCATATGGACACGTTAATTACAAACTTTACCATGTTTCTCCACTTAGTGTTAGCTTTTATGCAATCAGTGGAAAGCATGATAATTTCATTTCTTAACACTAGTTGACTTGTTTCCGGTTGGTTCCCTCCTTCTCTCTTGGAAGAACTAAGCAAAATTTTTTTTGAAGATGTTTATTAATTTTGAAATTTCAAGCGCTCAATTGCTTTTACAACTTTTCTTCAAACTTACATGAACCATTTCTCAAGTATTGAAGTCCCTAACCTTTTAATGCTTTTCATTTGGATTCGTTGCAGTCAGTTTTGCATTGTTGATTACAGCATTTGGTAGTAACAAAATGGAGATCCGCCTTGTTGAGACCTTTTTTGTTTATCTTGAGATTTTTGAAATGCTGTTGGTCTGCTCAAAATTCCAATATTATCACCACTTAGTAACTTTTCATGCTCGACAATTATCAATTCTTATGTGAGGAGTTTCGGACACCTACCCTTTCTTTTGTCTTATGCTTTTAATCTTCTTGTAGCGAATATGTCCTAGAAATTAGTCCTAGTAAAACTCGTTTCTTTCATTGTTCTTTAGAAAATTTTTGGAAAAAAAATGCTGAAAATTATGGATAACGGATGTACCTTTGTACTTTGTGAGTAACTATACCGTAGCATAACTACATCGGAATTGTTGCATCAAAATATAAATTCTGATGTCTGAAACGTCATGAGCAATGGCGATTTTGAGACCAAAGATATGAAACTATCTACCTTTGGAAATACCTTTGAGCAGGTGCAAAAGCTGTAGAAGCTCACCAAGTTGATTGTAACTGCTATTCCAAGAGTGAGCCCGAACATTTTGTTCTACAATCTTTCATTGAACCTGTACTGCCAATGCAAGATTTCCTTAGCCTTGATAGCAGGAAATAGAGAGCACGGCTTTATGAACTAGCCGGGAGATGCTAGAATTATCATTTTTGAACGTTCTTTGCATTGACACAGATTACCTTTTTTCTTATAAGCTTATCCTTCATAACTCTGTTAAGCGATTCTCAAAGCGTGCTTTCATATAATTACTGCAAAGCTACATACTCGGGTAGTTTAGATGACCGCCGTCCAGATATCGGATAGCGATCGAAAACTCATCGATGAACTCAAATCTAAAATCAAAAGTGAGTTGGAACTGGTACCGTCATATTCAGACGATCTCTCACTTTTACGATGGCTTGTGGGATGGGACCGTAAAGTGGGTTAGTTGTCTGCGATGTTGAAGCTCAGTACCTATCATATTATAGGACGAATTTTTATTTAGATGTTGTTGTGCCAAAAATCAAGTTTTCGCTCCGGGCTATTCATGCACTAGGATTGGACAACGAAGATTTGTCGACTTTAGAAAAGGTCACTGCAAAATGTGACGAGTGCAGCAAACCGCTACAGTATCTTCCAGGTTGGTGACATAAGACCAGATATAGCTATTGTTGCTCTTGTATTTAGCACTGCTTGAGTTGATAATCTGGCATTTGACATAAATTTCAAACTCTAAAATATAGAATGGTAAAAATTTGGCGCTTTAAATTTAAAATAGGTCTTTCAACTTAAACAGAACAACAAAGTAACTGACTATGATTGAAAATGCCAAGGCTTCAATTTACGAGCTACTTAACTCGATTGAAGCAATACGCTAGCCGTTTTCAGAGCTATAGTCATTACCAAAGGTACTTAGGCAGCAGAAACTACTGCTTTTCACGACCAAATCGGTAATGGTCGAGAGGAGGATGCGTTATCTTAAATCTAAAAGAGGAGAGAAGAACGGTTTAGGAGGGGACTTGTGGCAAGAGGTCTTAAAAAAGCATTTTTGACTTTTTTGGGTGCTGAAACTCAGACATTCAAATTGGATTTTCTAAATACGTTGCCACGGCTTTCCTGCAACAAATAGTGGAGTGAAAACCCGAGTGTCATATAAGAAAATTTTTAAAAAAAAGATGAGATGAATGCAGATGAAACGGTAGCTTCTTACGGTATCTTCTTTGCTGATATGAGTATTAACCTACTTCCATGTAGCTTGCGTTCATTTTCAAATTCACGATATACGTATTGATTATGAATGGTAATGATGCGATCAGAAAAATCACATACTAGAAGGGTTCCGATTATCGATCTGAAGATTACTTTACTACCATCTAACTTGCTATACAGGATCGCTTTTGGGCTTCGACAAGGAAGGCAATGTGATCTCACTGCAGATGATCGGTCGTCTGGATGCAGCAGGGCTCATGCCATGCACTCGTAACTCAGACCTCTACCGTATGCGAATAGCTGAAAGCGAGGGTGTTATGCAAATCATACGGTAAGTATTAAATTGTTTATTTTTTACAGCAAGACTGGGGCTGACTTTACGCCGAAGAAATATAGTTTTTTTT